TCACCCTCTTCCAGTCCCCCCCCTTCCAGTCCGGACACTTTCCCCCCCTTCCTGTCCGGATGCTTTCCCCCCCCTTCCAGTCCGGACACTTTCACCCCCTTCCTGTCCGGATGCTTTCCCCCCCCTTCCAGTCCGGACACTTTCACCCCCTTCCTGTCTGGACACTTTCCCCCCTTCCAGTCCGGACACTTTCACCCCCTTCCAGTCCGGACACTTTCACCCCCTTCCAGTCCGGACACTTTCACCCCCTTCCAGTCCGGACACTCCCCCCCCCCTTCCTGTCCAGGCCAATTTTCAGCTTTCAGTGCTATCACACTTTGAATGACAATTGCGCGGTCATGCAACACTGTACCCATATGAATGTTTTAGAATTTTTTTGAGACAGATAAAACTTTATTTTGGTGGTATTTATTCACCGCTGGGATTTTTATTTTTTTCCTATATAAATGAAAAAGTCCAAAAAGTTTGAAAAAGTGTTTTTTCTTATAACATTTTGCAAATAAATAATCTTTCTTCATAAATCTTGGCCAAAAAAAATCTTTAGTAAAAAAAAAATAACCCAAATTAGTTTATAACCAAAAATTATAATTTTTAAAAAATGTTTTTTACATGTTTATTTTATTTTTTTATATTATTATTTATGTTTTTTTTTGTTTTTTTTTTTTACATACGGTCACCCTAGTGGTACAGTGTCACCATGGTGACACTGTACTACTTGTGGGGGGTGATGAAGATTTATTTTTGTTACACTGTTACCCATTAAGGCTGTAAAAGCAATCATTTTCCTTCTCTCTGGCTGCATACTTGCAGCCATTGAGAAATACTGTGTGAGCTGTGATTGGTCACAGCTTGTCACATGGTGCAAGGCTGTTGTGAATAGCCCTGTACCATGTGATCTCTGTGATCATTCACAGATTTCACACGTAGTAAGCAATGATGTCAGAAGTGACATCTTGCTTACTACTATTCATGTGATCACTGATTGGCCAATCAGTGATCACATGATCGGGACCTCACACAGAGTTCCCATACAACGATTGATGTTCCACTGTGTCTGGAGGACACAGCGGGCATCGGATCACGGTGCTGCACACTCCCAGGGGAGCGCGCACAAGCAGGGTGCGGGGAGGCCGTTTATAAACGGCCACCCGCCCCTGCACTGCCACCGTCCGGCCGTTTATATCCATGGGCCGGACGGGAGGTTGTTAAAGAGCCATATCCATTTCTCTTATTCCACAGACAGATAACAAGTCTATACTCTGCCGATACAGTTGTGCTCAAAAGTTTTCCTCCCCTGGCAGAAATTGTGTGAAATTTTGGCATTGATATTGAAAATATGACAGATCTGCCAAAAATGCTCTTTTATTGAAGGATAATGATCATATGAAGCCATTTATTATCAAATAGTTGTGTGGCTCCTTTTCAAATCATAATGATAACAGAAATCACCCTAATCAGATGTCTCCACCCCTCGGATCAGACATCTCCCGACCCCCGGATCAGAAGTCTCCGCCCCCTGGAATGTTTGGCTTGGTACAGACACACAAGGTGACACACACGGGTTACAATGCCAATTAGAGGTTAATGTCCCACATCTGTGGCTTTTTAAATTGCAGTTAGTGTCGTGTATAATAGTCAATGAGTTTGTTAGCTCTTACGTGGAAGCACTGACTAGGCTAGATACTGAGCCATGGGGATCAGAAAAGAACTGTCAAAAGTCCTGCGTAACAAGGTAATGGCTCTGTGACGGGAGTCACTTTGGGTGGGGGGCACATGGAACAGAGCTCACTTTGGAGAAGTGGGGAGACCCCTGTCTCAGCTCCCCATATCCCTATTATATGTAAGTCACCCTGTGCCTGTTAGGGGTACAGGGTGAAATGTCCTAATATTGGGGTGGGGGTTTGTTCATTGTTTAATTCCATGTGGTTGCATGCCTTTGTTCTATTGTGTGTTTTGCTTGGGAGCAAATTATTATGGTATGTATGTGTTTGTGTATTGGCTTGGTGGAGGGTGTCTGCTGATGTGTCTCTTGTTGCTAGATGTGGTTTGCCCCTGCCCTGTGTCATTATGCATGGAGGGGGAATTGTTCCCTTGAATGTATATATCTTGTATCTAGGTTAAAATAAAGTAGTCTATTTCCTGGTTCCTTCAAGATTGGTGTCTGTCTAGTCTTGTATGGTCAGCGGTGGTGTCTGTGGTCGGTGTTCGGACGGGGGGAAGGGAGTTTAACAGAAGTACCCAAGTGCAGTCAGGGGGTTCTGGTTCTGTTACAGGTTAAACTTTCTAAAGATGGAAAAGGAAGCCATAAAAAAGATGTCCAAAAGTAACCCTTGAATATGCCAATCTAAAGATGAAAAAGGAAATAAAAAGATGTCCAAAGCCTTGAATATGCCAATCTGTACAGTTACATCACCTATTAAGTGTAAAGTTCAGGGATCTCTTGATACGAAGCCAAGGTCAGGTAGACCAAGAAAGATTGCAGCCATAACCGCCAAAAGAATTGTTCGGGATACAAAGGGAAACCCATAGGCAACCACAAGAAAAATCCTGGCTGCTCTGGAAAAAGACAGTGTGGTTGTTTTGAAGGAGCACAATATGATGACACTTCAACAAAAATGAGCTGCATGGTGGAGGTGCCGAAAAGAAGCCTTTACTGCACCAATGACACAAGAAGGCCCGGTTAGGCATGTCAAGGTGTTGTCAGGCATATTGTAGCCTGGCTTTTTTGTGGCATTGGTGCAGTAAAAGCTTCTTTCTGGCACCTCCACCAAACAGCTCATTTTTGTTCAAGTATCACCGTATTGTACTCCTTAAAAACAACCACACCATCTTTTTCCAGAGCAGCCTGGATTTCTTTTGATGTTACCTGTGGGTTTTTCTTTGAATCCTGGACAATTCTTCTGGCAATCTTTCTTGGTCTACCTGACCTTTGCTTGGTATCAAGAGATCCTCGAACTTCCCACTTAATAGGTGATTTAACAGTACTGATTGGCATATTCAAGGCTTTGGACATCTTTTTATTTCCTTTTTCATATTTAGAAAGTTCCATTACCTTGTTACGCAGGACTTTTGACAGTTCTTTTCTGATCCCCATGGCTCAGTATCTAGCCTAGTCAGTGCTTCCACGTAAGAGCTAACAAACTCATTGACTACTTATACACGGACACTAACTGCAATTTAAAAAGCCACAGATGTGGGACATTAACCTCTAATTGGCATTGTAACCCGTGTGTGTCACCTTGTGTGTCTGTACCAAGGCCAAACATTCATAGGGGGAGGAGAATTTTGATCAGGGGGCAGATACTTCTGCGGATACTTCTGATCCGGGGCGGAGACTTCTGATCCGGGGGCGGAGACTTCTGATCCGGGCCATTTGGGTGATTTCTGTTATCATTACGATTTAAAAAAGGGCCAAACAACTATTTGATAATAAATGGCTTCCTAATGTCATCATCCTTCAATAAAAGAGCATTTTTTGGCATGATCAGTCATCTTTTCAATATCAATACCAAAATTTCACAATTTCTGCCAGGAGATGCAGACTTTTGAGCACAACTGTATGTCCCATGAACTGCAGCTCACTCGATGTTTTTGGTGTTTTGCACCAATCACATTTTTCCCCATTCTGATGTTTGATGTGATCAGTAACTGAAGCTCCTGACCTACATTTCCACATGGAAGAAAAATATATTTTAAATATATTTTTAAAATATTCTTCCCAAATATATTGACATATATTTGAAATACTACAATTTTTGGCCTTATTCAATATATTTCAAAATATATTTCAATAAATATACAGTGAAGGAAATGCGTATTTGATCCCCTGCTTATTTTGAATGTTCGTCCCTCACAAAGAAGATCGGTCTAAAAATTGAATGTTCGGTGTAACACTGAGAGACAGAATAGCAACAACAAATTCAGCAGAAATGCGCAGAAATGCGTCTAACAAATGATTACTGATCTGCATGTTCATGAGGGAAAGAAGGATTTGATCCCCATCACAAAACATGACTGAGTACTTGGTGGCAAATCCCTTGTTGGCAATCACAGAGGTCAGACGTTTCCTGGAGTTGGCCTCCAGGTTTGCACACATCTCAGGAGGGATTTTGGCCCACTTCTCTTGGCAGATCCTCTCCAAGTCATTAACCGGTTCCCGCCTGGCCTATGGCTAGCAAAAACCCTCACAGTTCCGGGTGGACGCCATATGGCGTCCTTTCGGGCATGCGCAGTTTTAATGCCCGCAGAGCCACGCAGCGGCCGATGACAGATCTGTGTACCGGCCCCGTTGCCGGTACCATGTGACCTGCTGTGACCAATCACAGCAGGTCACATGACAGTTGTATACAATGGATGGCTTCCTATCATGCCATCCATTGTATACAAGTGTGTCTAGCTGTAAATGGTCACAGTGATCACATGCACAAGCTGGGCCAATCACAGCCCAGCTGTGTCATGTGATTAGCTGTGGCCAAATCACAGTTAAGGAAAAAAAAAAAAATCCTGAATGAATCAATTTCATTCAGGTATATGCTTGCTTATAGCAAAGTAATAGCAAAGTTACAACTTCAAAAAACTCGCCATGCCTGTTATGAAATACGTCGGACTGTCTACTTTGCAAAAAGGGGCCATTTGGGGGTATACTGATATCTGTCCTGACATTTGGGGATATCTGTACTGTTCTGACATTTGGGGATATCTGTCCTGTCCTGACATTTGGGGGATATCTGTACTGTTCTAACATTTGGGGGATATCTGTCCTGTTCTAACATTTGGGGGATATCTGTCCTGTCCCTGACATTTGGGGGATATCTGTCCTGTCCTGACATTTGGGGGATATATCATTTGGGGTCCTGTCCTGACATTTGGGGGATATATCTGTCCTGACATTTGGGGGATATCTGTCCTGTTCTGACATTTGGGGGATATCCGTACTGTCCTGACATTTGGGGGATATCTGTACTGTCCTGACATTTGGGGGGTACTGGATATCTGTACCGTCCTGACATTTGGGGGATATCTGTACCATTCTGACATTTGGGGGATATCTGTACCGTTCTGACATTTGGGGGATATCTGTACTGTCCTGACATTTGGGGGGATTTGGGGGATATCTGTCCTGTCCTGACATTTGGGGGATATCCATACTGTTCTGACATTTGGGGATATCTGTCCTGTCCTGACATTTGGGGGATATCTGTACTGTTCTGACACTGTTCTTTTTGGACCTCAAGAAATTAGATTGGCTGTCAGTACTTCAGGATTGATCAATATTCAGATCTATACCATAGTTTGTGAACTCTATAACTTTCCTACAAACTAAATAATAAATACTGATTTGGGTTATTTTCACCAAAGACATGTATTAGAATACATCTCGGCCTAAATTTATGAAGAACAATTATTTATTTGCAAACTTTTATAACAGAAACAAAGAAAACGTGTTTTTTTTTTAAATTTTTGGTCTTTTTTTGTTAATTTAGCAAAAAATAAAAACCCCAACGGTGATTAAATACCACCAAAAGAAATCTCTAGTTGTGTTAAGAAAATGATAAAATTTTAGTTTGGGTACAGTGTTGTATGACCGCGCAATTGTCATTCAAAGTGTGAGAGCGCTGAAACCTGAAAAATGGCCTGGGCAGGAAGGGGGAAAAAGTGCCCGGTATGGAAGCGGTTAAGGTTTGGTGGCTGATGTTTGGCAACTCGAACTTTCATCTCCTCCACAGATTTTCAATTGGATTAAGGTCTGGAGACTGGCTAGGCCAATCCAGGACCTTCATGTGCATCTTCTTGAGCCGCTCCTTTGTTGCCTTGACCGTGTGTTTTGGGTCATTGTCATGCTGGAACACCAAACATGACTTAAAATTGTGTGCAATTGGCGACAAACTACTGTACCTGAAAGCCTTTATAAATGAAACAAAAAAATGTGGTGCACTACCTCCTCATACATACAGTGAAGGAAATGCGTATTTGCTCCCCTGATGTTGAATGTTTGTTGAAATGATCGTCTAACAATCGTTCACCCCTCACACAGAAATGATCGGTCTAACAATGGAATGTTCGGTGTAACACTGAGAGACAGAATACAACAACAAATTCAGCAGAAATGTGTCTAACAAATGATGACTGATCTGCATGTTCATGAGGGAAAGAAGGATTTGATCCCCTATCATTCAGCAGGATTTCTGGCTACCAGGTGTCTTTCATACAGGTAACAAGCTGAGATTAGAAGCAGTCTCTTAAAGGGAGTGCTGCTAATCTCATTTTGTTACCTGTATAAAAGACACCTGTCCACAGGAGCAATCAAACCATCAGATTCCAAACTCTCCACCATGGCAAAGACCAAAGAGCTGTCCAAGGATGTCAGGGACAAGATGTAGACCTACACAAGGCTGGACTGGGCTACCAAACTATGGCCAAGCAGCTTGGTGAGAAGGTGACAACAGTCGGTGCAATCATTCCACAAATGGAAGAAACACAAAACAAGTGTCAGTCTCCCTAGGTCTGGTGCACCATGCAAGATCTCACCTCGTGGAGTGTCAATGATCATGAGAACAGTGAGGAATCATCCCAGAACTACACGTGAGGATCTTGTCAATGATCTCCAGGCAGCTGGGACCACAGTCACCAAGAAAACAATTGGTAACACAGTACGCCGACAAGGACTGAAATCCTGCAGTGCCCGCAATGTCCCTCTGCTCAAGAAAGCACATGTCCAGGCCCGTCTGAAGTCTGCCACTGAACATCTGAATGATGCAGAGGAGGACTGGCTGGAAAGTGTTGTGGTCAGAGGAGACCAAAATCCAGCTCTTTGGCAGCAACTCAACTCGCCGTGTTTGGAGGAGGAATGCTGCCTATGACCCCAAGAACACCATCCCAACTAACCATCAAACATGGTGGTGGAAACATTCTGCTTTGGGGACATTTTTCTGCCAAGGGGACAGGACAACTGCACCGCATCAAAAGGACGATAGATGGGGCAATGTACCATCAAATCTTGGGTGAGAACCTTCTTCCCTCAGCCAGGGCATTGAAAATGGGTCGTGGATGGGTGTTCCAGCATGACAATGACCCAAAACACACGGCCAAGGCAACAAAAGGAGTGGCTCAAGAAGAAGCACATTAAAGGTCCAGGAGTGGCCTAGCCAGTCTCCAGACCCTAATCTGATTGAAAAATCTGTGGAGGGAGCTGAAAGTTCGAGTTGCCAAACGTCAGCCACCAAACCTTAATGACTTGGAGAGGATCTGCCAAGAGAAGTGGGCCAAAATCCCTCCTGAGATGTGTGCAAACCTGGGGGCCAACTCCAGGAAACATCTGACCTCTGTGATTGCCAACAAGTACTAAGTTATGTTTTGTGAAGGGGATCAAATACTTATTTCCTTTATGAACATGCAGATCAGTCATCATTTGTTAGACGCATTTCTGCTGAATTTGTTGTTGCTATTCTGTCTCTCAGTGTTACAATACACCGAACATTCGATTTTTAGAACGATCATTTCTTTGTGAGTGGGCCAACATTCACATCAGCAGGGGATGAAATACGCATTTCCTTCACTGCAAAACCATAAGCTTTGAAAAACATATAGTGACAGTCGAAAAAAAATGATATATAACTAAAAATAATGTGATAATAAAACGTCCAATCCAATATATGTTGTGTTAGCATCCAGCAATATTCAACACCGGGATTGAATCAAGGTGAGCCCCACTCCCTGCTCACCTTGACCAATGACCTATATAAATCATAACAGGCCAAACACGCTTTATAAGGAATAGGTGTCTCCAAATTTCTGATTCGTGACATGTTCCTTCCATGGTTTATTCCTCCATTGGACCTTTAAGGTGTGTATGATCAAAAATAAAAAATAAATCAGGCAACCCCATAAAATATGAACACTGTATTCAGGTACAAAAGAAAATGCACTCACAAAAGTAATAAATCAAAAGTCTATCGCTCAGGTCTGCACTCACCAGATATTGCCTTTGTTATAGAATACTCAAGAGGATATCCACTAATTAGACCAGGAGGTTCCTCCAAGGACAGCCCACTCAATGATTGGCTGCCAGGATAATTCAAAACTCCACTCCACCATATCATGAAAAGAGAAGAACAAAGAGTCCGCTCCAATAGTATATTACCCGAGATAGGTACATTTATTTACTCCAAGTATTGCACTTACAATGTTCAAAACATCAACAAGCCCAAATAATGTGTCTCGTCACTTCCGGTTACGGATCTACGTCACTTCCGGGCCTGCAGCACCATCACGCCCTGATGCGTTTCATCCTAACTTAAAGGGGTGACGGTGCGGTGCGGCTTACCGCTTATATCAGGAGAAAATAAATAGAATCACCAGACTGATTATCATGCTTAATTAATTCACCTCCATCTCGCAGGAAGTGATGTCAGTTACTGGCAACCACTAGGCTCCATACTTTTACTCAAAAGAGGGCAGAACACATAACGACAATCACATTATAATAGTTTACATCCAAAATATATTATTACATAACACCACTGCTAAAACATTATTCACTTCCCTAATGACACAATGGGGTTTATTTACTAAAGCTGGAGAGTCCAAAATCAGACTCCCTTCTGCATAGAAACCAATCAGCTTCTAACCTCAGCTTGTTCAATGAAGCTTTGGCATTGAAACCTGGAAGCTGATTGGTTTCTATGCAGAAGTGAGTCTGATTTTGCACTCTCCAGCTTTAGTAAATAAACCCCAATGTAACCATAATGACAATATCATATGTCATATACAATGACAACCTATATAATGTTACTCATAATGAAACAATGTGTATACGATCATATATTACTAATCATTGGATACATCATGATATATATATAATATCAAAACAATGTGTATACCATCATATATTACTAATCATTGGATACATCATGATATATATATAATATCAAAACAATGTGTATACCATCATACATTACTTATCATTGGATACATCACGATATATATATAATAGTGAAACAATGCGTATACGATCATACATTACTTATCATTGGATACATCATGATATATATATAATATCAAAACAATGTGTATACGATCATATATTACTAATCATTGGATACATCATGAAATATATATAATATCAAAACAATGTGTATACCATCATACATTACTTATCATTGGATACATCATGATATATATATAATATCAAAACAATGTGTATACGATCATATATTACTTATCACTGGATACATCATGATATATATAATAGTGAAACAATGTGTTTACGATCATATATTACTTATCACTGGATACATCATGATATATATATAATAGTGAAACAATGTGTATACGATCATACATTACTTATCACTGGATACATCATGATATATATAATAGTGAAACAATGTGTTTACGATCATATATTACTTATCATTGGATACATCACGATATATATATAAAATGAAACAATGCGTATTACGATCATACGTTACTTATCATTGGATACATCACGATATATATAATAGTGAACAACAATGTGTATACGATCATATATTACTAATCATTGGATACATCATGATATATATAATAATGAAACAATGTGTATACGATCATATATTACTAATCATTGGATACATCATGATATATATAATAATGAAAACAATGTGTATACGATCATACATTACTTATCATGGGATACATCATGATATATATAATATAAAAACAATGTGTATACCATCATATATTACTTATCACTGGATACATCACGATATATATAAACGCCATTATTGACATTTCGAATTTTATAGGATTTTACAGAAATTAATTTAATTACTCTCTTACTGATTAATATACTTATTACAAATTTTACTTAACGTATTTTTCGCTCCATAAGATGCACTTTTTCCCCCCCAAAAAAAGGGGTCATTCACAAAGCGCAGAGCTTCTCGCGCATGCGCAGTGGGCACACGGCTGTCACAGCAGGGTGCCCACACTAAAAGGAGGATTACTCCTAGGAAGTGGGAGCGGGTATCTGTCAAATTCAGATGTCAGCTCCCCCCTCCCTCCCCAAAGTCCGCAGTCTCTGGTCATCTCCCTACTGTACTGTCTGCAGTCTCTGGTCATCTCCTGTACTGTGTCCGCAGTCTCTGGTCATCTCCTGTACTGTGTCGGCTGTCTCTGGTCATCTCCTGTACTATGTCCGCAGTCTCTGGTCATCTCCTGTACTATGTCCGCAGTCTCTGGTCATCTCCTGTACTGTGTCTGCAGTCTCTGGTCATCTCCTGTACTGTGTCCGCAGTCTCTGGTCATCTCCTGTACTGTGTCCGCAGTCTCTGGTCATCTCCTGTACTATGTCCGCAGTCTCTGGTCATCTCCTGTACTGTGTCTGCAGTCTCTGGTCATCTCCTGTACTATGTCCGCAGTCTCTGGTCATCTCCTGTACTATGTCCACAGTCTCTGGTCATCTCCTGTACTATGTCTGCAGTCCATTGGTTCAGAATATTTTTTTCATATTTTCTCCTCTAAAACCTAGGCGCGTCTTATGGTCAGGTACGTCTTATGGAGCGAAAAATACGGTATATAATAGCAATGGAAATATGCACACATAATTGTATATATGTCCATATCAGATATATAATTTTATCCATAATCATTTTAAATGAAATGCAAAACTCAACAATAAAAATAAATTAACTTAAAATAAAATAAAAATAAAATAAAAATAAATATAAAAATAAAATGAAATGAAAATAAAAATAAAGTTTACCCCCCAAATAAAAGAGATCTGTCCACTCAGAGTCATTAAAGAGAACCCCAATCAGAGGAATTTCAGTCCTGCAGAAGAAGTTGTAGGAATGTGACTGCACACTTAGCAGTTTGTAAGTTCAGATCTCTTGCAGTTGTACTTTGTGATCAGTCTATGGAGAGGAGGAATAGATGAACAGAGAAGCAAGATAATGAGGACATCCAATCTTCACCTGATGAAATCCCTTAGACTTGTGGCAGAACCAAATGAAACAAGTGACCATCTGGGCTTAAGTGGTCCCATTGAACACATCCCATAAAACAGCTGCAACTCTCTGTTGGAAGGCCTACACTAGCTTAGGAGTTGCTTTCTCCGAGGCTTCTCCCTGGCCAGTGTCCCATCCTCAGACCTGCCTACAAACCTGTCATCCATAAGAGGAGGAGGAACATTGGAAATGAGGCATGGATCGTGGGAACCGAGGTGGAACATATATCGGGAGGTGGCTTAGCTGGAGTCCTCAAACTTGGCTGCAATAACAACAGTCAGCAGAACCTGGAAAGGACTCTCCTCTCTGAAGTTTCAGAGGCTCGGCAAGATGCTTCTTGATTGCAACCCAGTCTCTGGTACTGAGGCAGTGTTAATCGAGTATTAACTCAGGATCTGTCAATGAAGAAAACACTTGGGAACAGATCAGTTAGAACGGATGCAAACGCATTACATGTTCAGTCAAAGCTCCATAAAAAAGATACAGATGAGGATCATGAGGAAACACAGTTCATTCATCGATCCTTCTCCGAAAAAAAAAAGAAGAAAAAAGCCAAAGCACAAAACCGTATGCGCCAATAGGAGAATGATTGGTAGGACTGGTTCAGGCATATGGAATTAAAAGTCCATGATAAAAAAGGGGGAGGGGAGTTAGAGATAAGATGGTCCACTTGGGCAGCTGGTTTCCAGAGTAGAAGAAGGCTCTCTAGATGCGCACAATGGTAAACAGAAATGGAAAAAGTGCCTCTAAGTGTAATGCCACAAATGTATTTATTAAAAACAATGTAGGTTAACAAATGGCAACTCAAGTGCTCTAAAAGAGTAAAGGGTGCAAAATAAAGCCCGTGCGGGGTCCTGGATGGTGAAGCTTGGGAAAGGAGCGATTCTGCGCACCCTGGTGGTGTCCCCTGATGTGCTACATTTAGCTCGCCCTAGGCAACACTAAAATTGGGCAGCACCCCTCCAGTCTCTGCCAACCACTAAAACTGGGCGCTTCCGCCGCCACTAAAATTGGGGGCACCCCCCACTACCGCCCTCACCTCCTCCCCCCCCCAGCCATTAAGCCGTTAACAAATAGCAACTGAAGTGCTCTAAAAGAGTAAAAGGCACAAAATAAAGCTTGTGAGGGGTCCTGGATAGTGAAGCTTGAGGGAGGAGCAATTCTGTGCACCCTGGTGGTGTCCCCCAATGTGCTGTATTTAGCTCACCCTAGACAACACTAAGATTGGGCACCACCACCAGCCCCCCCCCTGTCAACCACTAAAACTGGGCGCCCCAGCTGCCACTAAAATTGGGCACCCCCCACCACCACCAGCACCCTCACCTCCTCGTGCAGCCCCTGTCACCACTAAAATTGGGCAGCAGCACCCCCCGGGGCCAGCTGCCTCCACTCTCTGCCAAACAATCCTTCCCGGCCCTTCGCCTCCGCTTGCAGAGAGATAGAGTTAGTCAAGCACTAACCTTAACCTCTCTGGAGCCAAGCCCAGTGTCTTCCTTCTTTGTGCCAGAAGCTTACACCTTCCAGCAGTGTACAGCCTCCTTGTATTCCATGGCAGAGGCTCATCAGGTCCCCAGGTGGTGCCCCCCCTAAAAAAAAAAAAAAATTGCTGACCCAGGCAAATCCCTTGTTTGCCGCTTCCACTGCCAAACAATCCCTCCCGGCCCTTCGCCTCCGCTTGCAGAGAGATAGAGTTAGTCAAGCACTAACCTTAACCTCTCTGGAGCCAAGCCCAGTGTCTTCCTTCTTTATGCCAGAAGCTTACACCTTCCAGCAGCGTACAGCCTCCTTGGATTCCATGGCAGAGGCTTACCAGGTCCCCAGGTGGCGACCCCCCCAAAAAAAAATTGCTGCCCCAGGCAAATGCCTTGTTTGCCAATTCCACTCTCTGCCAAACAATCCCTCCCGGCCCTCGCTGCCGCTTGCAGAGAGATAGAGTTAGTCAAGCACTAACCTTAACCTCTCTGGAGCCAAACCCAGTGTCTTCCTTCTTTGTGCCAGAAGCTTACACCTTCCAACAGCCTCCTTGGATTCCATGGCAAAGGCTCACCAGGTCACCAGGTGGCGCCCCCCCCCAAAATAAAAAATTCCTTGTTTGCCTCACTGTAAATATGCCACTGGTCCCGTGCATGCTCCGAGACGTGTTGTGTCACTGCCAGCTCTCAGCAAACCTCTGGTCCAGCATTGCAGTCCATGCTTGGCTCCACAAGCCTCCAGAGCTACCGGTTTTGTCTTCTCCACTGAGCGGCTGCTTGAGATCCATCTCCTGCCATTCCGAAGTGATCCACGGCCAGACTACTTCACCAATCATGGACTTTATTTTGTGCCCTTTAGGGCTCATTCACACTTGATTTATTTCTAACTCTTGCCAAACGCCCCTATAGCATTTGACAAGCGTTTGGGAAGCATTTGTAATGCTCCTCAAATGCTCCCAAAATGCCCTATGCGTGGTTTTGAGGCAGTTGATAGGCATTTGTCAAGCATTAAAACCGCACCACAAACTCCTATAATAAAGTTAAATGCTATTAATGCTCCACAGCCGCACTGCAAATGCCTTCCAGGCATTTGCGGAGCGGCGCCATAGACTTGAATGGGAGGCTTCAATTCCTCCTGACTGGACACTAGGCGTCAGTTTTGCCGCAACGCGACACTAACGCTTCCATGTGAACAGCACTGTGTGCTGCCATGTGCAGAATTTTCATAGGCATTTGAGAAACGTTAAAACGCTTCCCAAACACCTGTCTGACGACTTCAGCTAGTGTGAATGTAGCCCTATTCTTCCAGAGCACGTAAGTTGCCATTTGTGAGCCTACATTGTTTCTAATAAATACATTGATGGTATTACACTCAGAGGCGTTTTTTCCATTTCTGTTAAAAAAAAAAGTAAAATATTCAAGGACTTTCTAAGCACTAAACTCCATGCTCCATTCATTACATTCCTTTTTTTGCTCACAGATTTTAGTTTGTTCTTCAAAAGTAGCATTATACCTTTTTTCGCTTTTTTTACGAGCTTGTGAGATGACACGAGATGTGAAACTAATGAACACCAGCAAATCTTTCATTACGGCTTAGCTGCTACCTCTTTAACACCCCCCCCCCCCCCCCTTCCCTTCTTCCAGAGATTCCTCTTTGCAGTTAAAGCGTGTGAATCCTCTGGTGTTTGATTAGCTCAGAATTAAGTGTAAAAGCTTCATCACACTCAGAACATTGATAGGGCTTCTCTCCGGTGTGAATCTTCTGGTGTTGGGTAAGTGTTGCCTTTTGTGCAAAAGCAATGCCATATTCAGAACATTTATGTGGTTTGTCTTCGGTGTGACCCCCCTGGTGTCTGTTAAGCCCTCTGTTGTCTGTAAAAGCTTTGTCACATTCAGAACATTGATATGGCTTCTCTCCAGTGTGAAGCATCTGGTGCGAGATGAGATCTCTCTTCTCTTTAAAAGATTTGTCACACTCGGGACATGGATATGGCCTCTGCCTGGTGTGAACCATGTTGTGTGTGATAAGCTGTGACAATGTTTTATAAGCTTTGTCACATTCGGAACACTGATATGGCTTCTCTCTGGAGTGCATCCTCTGGTGCATGATAAGCTCTTTCTTGGTTTTTAAAGACTTTGTTACATTCGGAACACTCATACGGCTTTTCTCCGCTGTAAACCCTCAGGTGTGTGATAAGATTTGGCTTCCTCTGGTGTGCGATAAGCTCTTTCTTGGTTTTAAAAACTTTGTCACATTTGGAACACTGATACAGCTTCTCTCTGGTGTGAATCCTCTGGTGTTTGATAAGAGTTTTCTTTATTATAAAAGCTTTGCCACATTCTGAACACTGATACGGTTTCACTCCGGTGTGAATCATCTGGTGTGCGGTAAGATTTGACTTCATTGTAAAATCTTTGCCACATTCCAAACACTGATATGGCCTCTCTCCAGTGTGAATCCTCTGGTGTATGATAAGATTTGGCTTCATTGTAAAAGCTTTGTCACATTCGGAACACTGATATGGTTTCTCTCCGGTGTGAATCCTCTGATGCGCGATAAGCACTTTCTTGGTTTTAAAAGCTTTGTCACATTCGGAACACTCATAGGGCTTCTCTCCGGTGTGAATCATCTGTGTTCGATAAGATTTGCCTTAATTGTAAAAGCTTTGTCACATTCCGAACACCGATATGCCTTCTCTCCGGTGTGAGTTCTCATGTGTTTGCTGAGATCTTGCAGAATTGTAAAAGCTTTGTCACATTCGGAACACTGATACGGCTTCTCTCCAGTGTGAATCCTCAGGTGCTTGATAAGCTCTTTCTTGGTTTCAAAAACTTTGTCACATTCGGAACACTGATACGGCTTCTCCCTGGTGTGAACCCGCTGGTGCATGATAAGCTCTTTCTTGGTTTTTGAAAACTTTGTCACATTCGGGACACTGGTACGGCTTCCCTCCAGTGTGAGTTCTCATGTGTATGGTAAGCTGGCCCCTCACTGCGAAACCTTTGTCACATTTAGAACATCGATGAGACTTCTCTCCATCATGAGTCTTCTGGTGTGGGATACGTTCGGCCTCCATTGTAAAGAAAAAAAAAACCTTTGTTACATTCCAAACAAAAAATCGCTTCTGAAATGGCTCCTCTCACGTATACATGGGTTGGACTTTACTGCAAAGTGATTGTCACTTCTGAAATGACTTCTCGCCTGTTGTCTTTTTTTTTAAGCATGTATATTGCCACCTCCCCTAAGTGATTTCAATTTTAAAAGTATATGGTACTAGATATAAATAAAATGTCTAAATATATGTTTTCTGTAGTCGGGTCAATTTCCTGTAAATCCAACTAAGAGTCCTGAGGAAGCAGATAAGCGAAACGCGTTGACCTCTTCGGATGATCTGGCACGAAAAAGCCACACTGAATCGAACAAACCATGTATCATTGTAGGACGACTACAGAGTGGGGTTTTGTTGGGTTTTCTTTTTGTGAATGTTGGTTTTAAATTTTTTAATAAAAATACATATTTTTATTGATGGATAGAGCGTTCCTTAGTACCAGTAAAGTCCGGCCTTTTTTTTACTTTTCTCTTTTTTTTCTCTCCTGTTGTCCTCAGAGGCTTGATCAATGTTGAAAGAGTATCCAAAACATTTAGAACACCGATAGGTCTTCTGTCCTGTGTGAATCCTTCAGTAAACTGCTGTAAAGACTTTTAGCCACTTAAGACACCCATTTGGTTCATTTGGTATTTATGAAGACAAACGTGACGGAAAACCTGGATCATCAATCCACCTGTACAGAAAAAAAAAAATAAAAAAGGCAGAATTTTATATAAAGGGCTAAATAAAGTTGCTTTCTATTTTTTAACGTTCATTATTAAATATAATAATATACAGGATTGATACATAGCTCCAACAGTTTGCTCATATAAAAGGGAGACAATACAGCAATGGTACAATTCCAAACAAGAAGGGTTTTGTTTGCTCCTAGGAGCAAAAGGCCCTCCAATCTAATAGAGAAGAGCTGGTGGGACAAAAGGTATTTTTGTATTTTATATTATTGAGGACACTATGGATGATAAAATTGACAGTTTATTACAATTTCCTGCATCATAAACATAAATAAAACAGCACTAAATGAAAAAAGTGCAAGTGCTTCAAAAATACATACCATATAACAGCCTTCAAAATTTCCACTTGTCCACTGGCATTGTGCGAGTGAAAATTACTTGGGGGGGCGAGCAGCGTCGGGACTAGGAGTGTGCGGGGGCAGTGACAGGCAGTGATCTCCCTGTATGGCTTTCAATGAAGCAGCTGAAAACTGCGGGAGGGAGAGGAGAAACGGCTTCCCATTGCTGCACCGATCATCCCCCTTTCTTCAGTTTCTTTCCGGGGCCCCTGTGTTCTCCTCAGTGACCAGCCCCTCCCCCCATTCTACACACTGCTCTGCTATCCCCTGTCCCCTCCCACACTCCAGATCATGCAGCTTCTCAGAGGAGGACGAGTGGGAAATATACAGAGCAGCCAGCATCCCTGTGATGACAGAACCCTGTGAGTCCTTCCTTCTTTCCTTTCCTCCCTCTCTTTCTTGCCTCCCTCACGTCTTTCTTTTGTTCTTTCTTTTTTGCTTTCTTTCTTCCCTCCTTTCTTTCCTCGCTCTTTTATTTCTTTTTCTATCTTTCCTCCCTCCCTCCTTTCTTTCTTCTTTTCTTTCCTCCCTTCTTTATTTCTTTCCTCCTTCCTTCTTTTTTTCTCATTCTTTCCTCCCTCTTTTCTCTCTTTCCTCCCTCCTTTCTTTCTTTCCTCTCTTCCTCCTTTGTTTCTTTCCTCCCTTCCCCCATCCTTTCTTTCATCCTTTCCTCCCTTCTTTCTTTTTTCTCTTTCTTTCCTCCCTCTTTTCTCTTTTTCCTCCCTTCTTTCTTTCTTCCCTCTATTCCTCCTTTCTTTGTTTCTTTCCTCCCTCCCTTCCTCCCCTCCTTTCTTTCTTTCCTCACTTTCTTTCTCTTTCCTCCTTTCCTCCCTCCCTCCTTTCTTTCCTCTTTTCTTTCCTCCCTTTCTTTCTCTTTCTCCCTCCTTTCTCTCCTCCCTCACTTCTTTCTTTTACTCCCTCTTTTTCTTTCCTTCCTTCTCTTTCCTCCCTTCCTCCTTTCTTTCCCTCTTTCCTCCCTCCTTTCTTTCCTTCTTCCTTTATTCTCCTTTCCTCCCTCCTTTCTTTCTTTCCTCCTCCTTCCGCCTTTCTTTCCTCGCTTTTTTCTTTCCTCCCTCCTTTCTTTCTTTCCTCTTTTCTTCCCTGCCTTCTTTTTACTCCTTTCTTTCTTTTCTCTCCTCCTTTCTTTCCTCCCTTTTTCCTTTCTTTCTTTCCTACTTTCCTCCCTCCTTTCTTTCCTCCTCTTTTTTTTCTGCTTTCTTTCTTTCTTTCTTTCTTTCCTCCTTTCTTTCTTTCCTCCCTCCTTTTTTCTTTCTTTTTCTCTTTTCTTTCCTTCCTTCTCTTTCCTCCTTCCTTCTTTTCTCCATCCTTTCTTTCCTCCCTTCCTCCTTTCTTTTCTTTCCTTCTTTCCTCCCTCCTTTCTTTCCTCCTTTTTTTTCTCTTTCTTTCTTTCTTTCTTTCCTCCCTCCTTTCTTTCCTTGCTCTTTTTTCTATCATTCCTCCCTCCTTTCTTTCCTCCTTTCTTTCTTTCCTCTTCCCTCCTTTCTTTCCTTGCTCTTTTTTCTATCATTCCTCCCTCCTTTCTTTCCTCCTTTCTTTCTCTCCTCCCTCCTTTCTTTCCGCGCTTTTTTTCTTCTTCCTCCCTCCTTTCTTTCCTCTTTTTCTTTCTTTCCTCCTTCCTTTCTTTCCTCGCTCTTTTTTCTATCATTTTCCCTCCTTTCTTTCCTCCTTTCCTCCCTCCTTTCTTTCTTTCCTCCCTCCTTTCTTTCCGCACTCTTTTTTTTTCATTCCTCCCTTCTTTCTTTCCTCGCTCTTTTTTTTTCTTTTCTCCTCTTTTCTCCCTCCTTTCTTTCCTTCCTCTTTTTTCTTCCTCTTTTCCTCCCTACTTTCTTTTCTTTCCTCCCTCCTTTCTTTCCTCCTTTCCTTTCCTCCCTCCTTTCTTTTCTCACTCTTCTTTCTTTATTTCCTCCCTCTTTCTTTCTTTCTTTCCTCCTTTCCTCCCTCCTTTCTTTTCTCACTCTTTTTTCTTTATTTCCTCCCCTTCCTTCTTTCATTCCTTCCTCCTCCAATCTGTACTGCTCTCCCTGCATCCTCTGCACTGTGCGTCACTTTATTTCCCTGTAGATGTAAAGCACTTGTTTTCCTGTTATGTTTACATTGCTTTTGGATAATATAGCTAAAGTGGTTGTTAATATTTATTTTTGTACCTTTATTCTGCATAAAACACTTAACAGTGTCAATTCATGAGAATTTATGAGGACGTGAGTAGAGGCGGAATTAGGGGCGGGGCAGGGTAGGGGTTGGGTGGGACAACTGGTGGCGAGTAACTCTTAAGGCCTGGCTAGTAGCTCAGAACTTGAAATTTTGAGCCCTGTATATAAATATGTATGTGGGTAAAAAAGCCCATATTACACAAATAAAGTGAATAAGTCCATTGGTATAGTGCCAAAAGAAAAGCAATCCACATGTGAACAGGAAGCCACTGCTGCTAGGTGAAGTGACAGACTCCTAAACCGGATCACCGTGTCGTCTGAGGCTCCTTACCAGAAATGGTGGACCACATTGGTCGAACGCGCTTACATAGCTCATCCACAGATGACATCGGCATACACATAGGGGTCACTCCAAACGGATAGACTATCAAGCTCCGAATGGTCAGACACTCTCCAACCTCCTCCACAGGTGGCATCAGCTCAGCATGAGTACATACAAAATGAAATCCAAATATTTTTGGATCTCATGAAAACAACTCGCAAATTTTGAGCAGCGGTTCAATCCAAAAGTAGCAAGGCCCATATAGCAGATGTAAGAGCCTCGAAAATTAAAGTAACAGGCTGATAACAAAAATCCCCAATCGCTATCGATCGAAGCATGATGACGTCACATGCATGACACCCCTGACGTGTTTCGTCAGAATGACGTCATCACGTAGGGGTAGAATTTACACCCACAAAGCCCGCTACGAAAAGGACGCAGCCACGCAAGGCTTAACTTAAAATATTATTACAATTTCCTGCAATAGAAGCTCATTTGTTTGTTCTACTAAGAGCATTGGGCTGCATAGTGACGGGCAAATGTGCTTGGCATCGATTTGAGGGTGCGTTTAGCAAGGGCATGTAAGAATCCCAAGATTGCAAAGTTCAATGCAAACCCCACTGAAGCTGATAGAAGGCAAATTTTGGAAAATCAATTTTCTCCATTTTCAAGGTTAATAGGTGAGGGATTGTCAAACAAAGGGAACAGGATGCTGGGCACTAACGGGTGGGACATGTACCCAGCGGTGTATTTAGGTTTTGTGCTGCCCTAGGCAACACGAAAATCATTCACCTTCCACCTATGCCACCTTGGCCCCAGCCAAGAGAGCCTGAGACCGACCAACACAACAGCACCCCCCGCCAAAACAGCCTGACATTGACCAACTCCACAGCACCCATCCCCCCTTGCCAAGGAAGCCTGCCACCAAGCAACTCCACAGTACCCCCCCTCCGAAAGAGCCTGACACCGACCAATACAACAGCACTCCCCATCCCCCATCCCCCGAAACAGCCTGGCATTGACCAACTCCACAGCACCCATCCCCCCTTGCCAAGGAAGCCTGCCACCAAGCAACTCCATAGTACCCCCCCCTCCGAAAGAGCCTGACACCGACTAATACAACAGCACTCCCCCATCCCCCGAAACAGCCTGGCATTGACCAACTCTACAGCACCCATCCCCCCTTGTCAAGGGAGCCTGCCGCCAAGCAACTCCACAGTACCCCCCCTCCGAAAGAGCCTGACACCGACCAATACAACAGCATTCCCCCATCCCCCGAAACAGCCTGGCATTGACC